GACTGAAACCTCTGAAATTATGAACCAAGAGCCAAAGGAGCCAAACTCTTTTTCTCCTGTGAATTGTGTATCAGGTATTTTGTCCCAGCAATGGAAAGCTGACCAATGTAATATAAGAAAATCAGTGGTAGCCTTACTATGTGTGCTGAGTGTCCACTTCAGATTTTTGGACAGGAATCTGAAGTTATCTAGTAATAAAGTTAGATGAAGGATAAGGTAGCTATAAATAGGAAAAAAGTTATGGGTAAAAATATTTTTTAAATGTGTCTATGAGATAAAAAAGACACTAACAATGTCCAATCAAGGTGTATCTCTGCAGTTCAATTTGTCTCCATCTTCTTGTCATAAAAATTCTTGCAATATATTTGTTACATTCACCGGTGAGATATTTAATCATGAAGCTTAAAGACAGTTTTTGGTTATGAATGGTTCTGTTATTTCCTAAAGCAGATTCCTTTTAAATACAGTTGACAGCCTTCATGTTCATTCTAGAGGTGATTTCATTCTACTGTTTGAAGAAACTCTTAGATGTTAGCTGATATTTTCACTGATGATTTGATTTAAAAGTAAAAAAACAAATCTTAATATCCGATATTTCCTAAGGAATACAAATCCATCTCCAGTGATAATCTCAAAATGCTTGAAAAGCTGTCATAAGGCAAATGAGAAGGGGGAACTTGGTTTGATGACCTTGGGAGCCTAGCAATGCCAGGTGCATGCCCCTGGATCATCCAGCTGTGCTCCTAAACCATCATATTAAGACCTAAAACATCCCAGGAAGAATTTATGTCTGCACAGGTCCCAAGGAAAGAAATAAAGACCCAACCTCTAGATGGAGGAATGTCAAAAAAAGAACAGCATACTGGGTAAGATGGACTCTCTGTGTGTGTGTGTGTGTGTGTGTGTGTGTGTGTGTGTGTGTGCGTGCACAGATATACCATACAGTCATTTTTGGTAAATATAATCTACTCCACAAGCAAAAGAAAAGAAAAAGACCTATACCAAGGCATATTACAAAATGTCAGGAACACCAGGGATAAACTGAAGATCCTAAAATTTTTCCAAATGGAAGGAAAAAGGGAATAGAGATTAAAATGGCATCAGACTTCTTGATAGCAACACTAGAAGCTAATGATGGAACAATGCCTTCAAAAGAGAGACACTAATTTTCAATAATGCAGAATTCATCATTGAGCTGACTCACCATTCAAATGTGAGGGTAAAATAAAGGCATTTTCAGATATGCAAATTCTGAATTCAGGAAGGAATATGAAATTTTGTATGTACCCTTTCTCAGGAAGCCACTAAAGAACAAGGAAGATGCAAGAGCCAGGAAATTGGAGATCCAACACAGGTAATGAATGGCAAAGGGATTTTCCAAGATGATGACAAAGGGAAGTCCCAGGATAATGGCTGTGCAGCAGTCCAAAGAGCAAACCAATCCAGACTGGACTAGTAGAGTAGGGCTCTAGCAGAACCATCTCCCAAGAAAAAGAAATTAAACTGAAAGATCACCTGAAAATACTGAAAGATTATCAGTTCTGTCAGAGTTTGAGGATGAATTAGTGACTGAAAACAAAGAAAACTAAGCAAATGAAAAACAAGACACAGGGCTGGGGATTTAGCTCAGTGGTACTACTGCCTGCCTCTCAAGTGCAAGGTCCAGATCCCCAGTACCAAAAACAACAACAAAAAACAAGACACAATAATTTCATCTAAGAGAAATAAAAGTTGTACAAGAAGAAAATGTAATAACAGTACCCTCTATGGCTCATCTATAAATTATAGGCACACTGTCATAGTCATAGAATACTGAATACTAATTTAACTGGAAACTGTAAAGTATGGATGAGAATGAAGGATGGTTGTATGGGATACCTATATCCTCAACTTCCCAAATACAAGTTCATCCAGAATATGCAAAGTTAAAAAAACAAGAAATAGCAGTATAAACATTAAAAACAAAATCAGTTGAATCGTATGAAACTGCTGGGGATTTTTGTTTGTTTGTTTTGTTTTTTGAGACAGGTTCTCACTATGTAGTTCAGGCTGGCCTCCAACTCCCAGCAATCCTCTGCCTCAGCCTCCCAAGTGAGCCACCAAGTGATTACAGACGTGAGCCACCATGCCCAGCTGTTAAAACTGCTCATTTTTAAATCATTTTCGAATCTAAAAAGTGACAATTTTATATGGTGTAAGTTAATACATTATAGTAATATTACTACAAATTTTAGAATAAGCAAAAAAACTATTGATAAAAAACGCTCAGAGGAAAAACTTTATTTTTTGTTAGCAGACATTGTTGGAGGATAATGGATCCCGGTTTTGGGTAACAAAGTGTCAAACGTATGTTACTACAATCACTAACACAACAATTAGTATTCTAATGAATGTAAATAATATATTTACTACTAAAACATTTAACAATGTAATCTACTTTCATGTTATAAAAGTTACTTTAGAATTTTTCAACAGTCATTACACTACAGGAACATTAGACTGTGTTGGCAAAATTGTGATTAACAGAATGCTGAATAATAAGGCCAGGCTGTATTTGTGTTCCCTTGTTGACATAAAAAATAGCTGTCACTCTTGCAAAATTAAAGCTCTATGAAATTGTGGTACTATGCAAGGCTACTTCAGTGATAATTCCGGCTACATTATTATGTTTATCTATGACTTCCTTCTAAGGTTTGTTTTAATGGTATTCCTAAAAAAAAGTCTTATCCAAGCAGTTTACTAATGCATTGAGGCTGCTTCAATATTAGAGACACTAATTTTTAAATTAACTCAAGTTAAATTCATTAATATTAAAAACTTATTTAAATTTACACCATGAAACCAAAACTTCTCCAATTAAGAAAAAATATCAACTTTTACCAATGTTAACTGTTACAAAAAAAGAATTCAAACTTGGTAGTATAAAGCTCAGATTTTACCAAGAATAATGGATTCTGATCCAACCAGTGGAAAATTTCCTCTTCAAATTAAAAGCAAATGTTTTAAACAGAGGCAATATGCATAAACAGATGCTGTGGGGGTTTACATTTCATTTTGTGCTGAAAACTACTAGGAATTAAAATACATGTGATTCAAAAATAAATAATCTTAATAAGAATCCTGAAGAAAACTGAACCCACTCAATTATTCCCATTATTCAGTATAAACTTTCTTTTTTTCATTTTTTTTTTTTTTTTTTGTAGCGGTACTAGGGTTTGAACCCAGGCCTCATACATGCTAGGCAAGCACTCTAGCACTGCACTACACCACCAGTCCTTTTTATTTTATTGAACTAAATTGCCTAGGTTGACCTCAAATTTTCAATCCTCCTGCCTCAGTCATTGGTATTAAAGCTTGGGCCACCATGCCTGGCTACCTTTTTTTTTTTCTACCACTACTATTTCAAATCAAAAGTTTATAATAATATATTTTAAGTGTATTTTTGTAAGTATAATTTTCCATCATTCTATAAAATTAGAAGATTAAGAAAGAAAGTGAAAATCATCACCCAACCAAACTATCTTCTAAAATTGAAATATTTTGGTTTAAAAACAAAACAGCAAGGAATAACTGGTGTTATCACAATGGTCTCTTTTTAACTGGTCTACATCAACTGTTACCCCTCATAACTTTACCAAGGCAACAGTCAGGCAGGCAGTACTACTGAGTCCAAGTCTATGAGACCTGCAGAGCTTCCTTCTCTATCTGGGGATGAGGACAATGAAAAAAGGTGTTCTGTTTTTCAGTAGTCCTGTAAGAGGAGCCATTGAGCTGGGCTGCACAACCAGACAACAGAACACAGGAAAATTCAGATCAAACCAAGGACGCATGCCAAGGTAATATGCAATAAAACCCTTGGCCAAAGCATTAAGGGCGGGGGGAGCAAGGAGGTAGAAAGAACCTGCTGGACCACCTTCTTACTAACACAGGGAGGCAGAAGAAACAAAATCTGCCTATAGCGAAGAGCCAAGAAAACAGTGTTCTATATATATTGTAGTATTCCTACAGAGATGTACACAAGTATAAAGACATATCACCCATGAACCAGTCAGTGTCCTATATGTTGGGAGCGTTCCCACGTATATAGATATGAATATATTACCATTAAGTAGTAAGATGTTTTGAATATATAGATAAGGATACAGACATACATTTTCAATTAAAATCCATTGGTTTTACAATGAGAAACAAAAAACTGCTATTTGAAATAACACCAAAGACAGAACGAGGTAAAAGTGTGAAATTATCTTTTTTACCCCCTTTTTCCCCTCCTGAATTCTGATTTTCTCATTTCACGGGGGACACACACACGTACACACGCACACACACATCAGGTCTCCAGAAACAAAGAAGGGTCCTTAATTCTCCGGCCTGCGGGAGCACACACGCCCCCCCACCCACAGATAATGAAGGCCACCTTATGACTTTTTTTTTTAACCTTTTTTTTTTTAACGAGTAAGCCAAGGAGAGAGGTCTGTACACCGACCACTGCCTTGCAGACTGTGACAACCACGCACGAGACAAGCGCCACAAAGAAAGGAGAGGAGTGGATCGGGACCTGGAAAACACTGCCACGCCGCGCCCCGCAAGGCGCGTCCCCACCGCCACCACTGAGCAGCCGTCCTCGCCATCCTCTTAGCCTCTCTGCTCAGCGCAGCCGCCTCCCACGCCCGGGGACCGATGCGGAGGCTCAGGCGACCGGGGGGCGAGGGGGCGGCCAACCTGCTCTCCGCGACCTCCCGGTGACAGCCCCGCGCCGCTCTTCCCAAGGGACTCACCCCGGGCCTCGCCGGACCCTCCCCCGCGTCCCTCCCGGGCCTGGGGCCGAAGTCCCAACCTACCACTCCCCGCCGGGCCCGCCAAGGCTCCCGAGAATGTGTGGGGGAGGCTGGCGCGGGCCGGCGTCCTCCACAGCATCCCGGACGGGACCCGCCCCGTCCCTCAAGCCCCAGCCCGGGGGCGGCGGCCCTCAGTGCCCGCGTCCTTGCTCGCTCACTTACTCGGGCGCGCCGGCGGTGGCGGCGGAGGTGTGAGACCGTCAGCTCTCGGCGGCTGGCTGCGGATAGAGAGCTGCGGGCAGAGAGCTGCTGGCGGGGAGCGTCAGCCAGCGAACGCCCAGCACGGCTGAGGTGGCAGCGGCAGACTGTGCTCTGCTGCCCCCCGGCAAGGGGCGGGCCCGGAGGGGGAGGGGCGGGCGCCGCGCCTCTCATTCATGCAGCGGGGGCGGGGTGAGGCACCCGGATGCCCGGGCAGCCCCCCGCCCACCACGGAGAGGGCGCTCGGCTTCGGCGTCTTCTGTGCGCAAGCGCAGCGCTCCTGGGCTGGGCCTGGTTCCGCCTGCGGTCTGGTGCTGTTGCAAGTAGAGCTAGGCTGGTTATACCCCTTCTTTCGACTGTTCAGTATTTTTGTTTGCTCTGTGAGCATTAAAAGAAAAGAAAACAAAAAAACAGTGAAAGCTTGGAACATCACCTGTTTCCTGGCATCCAGCCTAGGAGTCCTTAGGGACATGGCTGAGCACGGGGTTGAGATACCCACTAGTTGAATGGAGAGATAGTGCATATCACCCCTTCCATCTCTCCCTCCAGCTGCAGGTCCTCTTAGCTAAGTGCTGGGACTGCGGTGATTGACGAGACCCAGATTCTAAGTATTGGGAAGAATTACTGGCAAGAAAACAGTGTGCTCTTTAATTACATCTACCTGCCCATCTTAGTCCCCAGCTCCCATTCTACAGGGCAGGCAAGAAACTGACCTCCGTTTTAGGCTCTTGGCTCTTCCTGCAGACCAAGACTCTAATTAGAGACCTAGAGTCTAAAGCAGCTCCAGCCCTATCTTGTCATTAGCAGTGCACTCTTTTTTTTTTTTTTTTTTTGTACCAGGGATCGAACTTGGGACCTTGTGCTCGCAAGGCAGTCGTGGTGCCCCTGAGCTAAATCCCTGGCCCCAAGCAGTGCACTCTTGTTTCCAGTCCCTTGGCTGTTCCTGGGAATGGAAGCAGGCATATCAGGCCTCAGTCTTACTCTCTGAGGCTCTTCATGAGTGTGGGCACTGCAGCTCAGGGCTTGGAGAAGCAATTGTCTTCTTCTTCAGTCCCCATGTCCCACTCTGAGGTTCCTATTCCTTTTACCCTCCTGTACCCCTCACATAAACAGCTCGGAGGCTTATTAACATTGTAAATATTTCAAAAAGTAATCTGCTACCCAGTGGTCACAGTACCCTAAGGGGAGAGATGGGTCCAGGTCTGTGCTAGCGAAGAGTGGGCAGCTCTTCCATTGCAGCTCCCTGTCCCAGGGCTGTGGACCCACGTCCTCCCTGCCACTCAAGCCAGGAAGCTGGGGGATCCCTTCCCTCCTTGTTTTCAGGGGCAGCAGTCACCAAGAAGGCTTTCTCAGCCCAGGTTTGCAGATACTGTAACTCTCACTCTGTCTAAATCAGGTCTCTTCATCTATCCCCTGGGCTGTTGCAGACATCTCAGTCCAGTAGCAAACAAATCTAGTCTTGTGATATGCAAATCTGCTATGGTTCCACCTTTTTCCTTTTCCTGTCCCATGTGACACACCAAGCCTTATTTTTCAGCTGTTTCCAGTACAGCACCATGATGTTTCACCTTTGGTTACCATGTTTCCTGCTGGTCCCTCTACTAAGAAAGCAACACTTACTTAGCAACACATAAAAGATGCTTTTTCTTCTTAAAAACTCACAGAGGGGTTTTTTCAGTCAGTGAAAATGCTGTGTGATATTATGATGGTGAATATGTCATTATATATTTGTGCAAACCTGTAGAATGTAAACTGTGGACTTTGGGTGATAATGACAGGTCATTGTAGAATTATCATATGTACAAACATACTACTCTGATGGGGGATGATCATAATGGGAGGGTGCATGTATGAGGCAGAGAGTATAAGAGTTATTTCTACCTTCCCCTCAGTTTTGCTGTGAACCCAAAACTGCTCTTAAAAATTAAGTAATTTTTAAAAGTCACCTTTTTGGGGCCGGGGATTTAGCTCGGTGGTTTTGGTGCCTGCCTTGAAAGCACCAGGTCCCGAGTTCGATCCCCGGTACTAAAAAAAAAAAAAAAAAATCACCTTTTTAATAAATTCATCCTTCCCACTTCTATCCACTTGACAGAATTTCTTTGGACTCCTCACCTGCATCCTGTACCTATTTCCCTCTTGGTATCTGGCATCCTTTGAGCTCAATCATTTGCATATTTTCTCCTTCATCTGTATATGGGCCTTTCAGGAGCAGAAGCAGGGTCTTCTCGAGACCTATGTGTGACTGGTGCACAATGAACATGGAATAGTTAGCAAAGGAGGGACACATCCACTGGAGGCCCAAGCTCCATGAAGGAGAGAAAGACTGAGCTCCTTTTCTTTCTTCTTTGTTTTTGTGACTTCTCTTCCCCTGACCTGTGTTTCAAAAGCTGTTTTGTTTGTTTATGAAGCTTGGCTGGTAATTGCTAGTCCAACAGGCTATAGGGTAGAGGGTGGGGTAGCTCCAGCCTCATGTCTTTTGTGCTTACAAAAGTACAGTGTATGAGAGAGAGAGCGCGACTGTAAGGAGCAGTGGCCATGTTCAGTTGCTACTTCCAGGGAGATCCATCTTATTAAATTTTTTTTTGGTACCAAGGATTGAACTCAGGTCCTTTGCAAGGCAGGCGACGGAACCACTGAGCTAAATCCTCGGCCCTCTTATTAAAATTTTGTTGAGGCATTAGCTAACAGGGTTAGGGAGAAAGTCTCCTTGATACGGGACAAGTGGAAACTGGCCTCACACCTCCCACAACATGTGTTTGGTTTGTGTTCTTTCATCCCCAGTTGTGAGTTGTTCCTTCTTCTTGGAGGAGAAATCAGGTTTTGTCTCTAGCTGAAGAGTCCTGCAGATCAGTGGTACACAAGGTTCTATTCACTGTTCACCCCCTCCTAAGTATCCTTACTTCTCTGTGGTGGTTGAGGATAAAAGTGTATCAAGGTATAGAGAGATCTGGAAAGTTCTTTCTTTCTCTGGAGCATTTAGGTGGGTTCCCAATCATCAAGAATTTAAAGGTATGGCTTTCCCACCTAACATGTTCCCTTGCTCCACAGATGGGGAGGGGTGGACTGTTAGTGCCTCCAGAAGATGTCCCTTTCTCTGTCTATTCCCTTGCTGTGGTTTGCATGTGTCCCCCAAAATTCATGTGTTGGAAACTTAGTCATTAATGCAACAGTGCTGAGAGATGGGACCTTTAAGTGGTAATTAGGTGAATGAATGTAGTGGTCACAATTGCCAACTAGAGTAAGAGACCACTAGAGAGGTAATTGCAACATGGCGGCACTAAACTTATCAGTGGATCAGTTCATTGATGTTCATAGCTGGATGTGCTGATAGAAGGTGGCCTCAAGTTGAAGGAGGCAGATTAAGGGGGACATGCCTTTGGAGGGCACATTTCTCCCTGGTGCTCCTTTCCAGTGCTCTGTGCTTCTTGACCACTGTGAAGTGAGCAGCTTTTCTCCACCACACCCTCTACCATGATGTTCTGGAGCCAGCTGATTATGAAATGCAACCTCTGAATCTGTGAGGCAAATTAAACCTCTTCTCCTTTAAGTTGTAGGTGTTGGGTATCATGTCTCAGCAACAGGAAAGCTGACCAATACTATGGCTCAGGGCCACTATTTCAGGAGTGGGTTCCTGAGGAAAGGATGAGTTTGGTCAACCCCCCCACCCCCCATATTCACTGTCTTGCTCCTCTGCCTTCCCTTATGGACAACATACCAAGAAACCTTCATCAGGAGCCAACCTTGATCTTGGACTTCCCAGCCTCTAGAATTGTAAGGAACAAATCTCTGCTCTTTATAAATTACTCTGTTATAGTAGCACAAAAGAGCTAAAATACTCCTGCCCCCTGCCCCGTTTCATCTCCTTCCCACATTATACCTCCTTTAAAGCATTTCCTCAGCCCTGTTACATCTCAGAAAACTCTTACTCCACCCCTGTGGCCAGAAGTCCTTCAAGTCTCCTCCTGGAAAAGAAATGACATCTAATTTTAAATCAAATGTCTGTGACTAATTTTGGAGCAGCAACTTTTTCAATGGTAACTGTAGTGGGAGTAGGAACTGGTTTTAGTCATCTTTGGATCTGTCATGCAATACATAATTTGTTGAATGCCTACCTGACTGGTGAAGGCACAATCAGTCCTTCAAACAGAAGCTAGAAATCAAATATTGTCCACAGCCCAGCCCTTCTGCCCATTTTCCCCACCTAGTGGAGCCTGTCAGTTGAGCATTGTGAACCATCTTAGCAAAAAAATCCTTTCTATTGGTCAATCACGTGCCTGCTTAATTATCCAGAGTTCAAAATAAACCCTTCGGGGGTTGACTGTACAACGCTTTGACCCCATTGACTAGGCCAACAGCAGAATCCCACTATTTTGGTGAGAGCAGGAAGTATCCTCCTATATTACCTTCATTCCAAGAATTCCAAAGAGATCCCTGCTGATGGTTCCCCACCTCCTTCCTTTGGAGGGAAATTGCTTCTTAATGTGGGATGTGTGTGTGTGACTGTGAAACAGCCAGAGTAGGGAGGAAGCCTAGGTTCCTGGATATGTAGTACCTTTGTATGTGGTACTTGTGAGTGTGTCCACTCTCAAGCCAGTGAAGGAGGCAGGAGCTAGGGATTCTGTTTCCCCAGCCACCAAGTCACCTTGCCTTTCTGGCATGAACACAGGCCCGGTCACTCAAAATTTCAGAGCTTGTAAAATATAAATGTGCTCAGAATCCTGTGTGGGAACTTCCTAGCTGAGACCAGTCACAGATGCAGTACACCAATGACATAATTTCCTGGGGACAGTACACCTGTTCAGACTCACTGTTAGATTTGAGGACATTCATCTTTGTGTGGATTCTCATAGGTTCTGAGCAGACCCTAAGACAGGGACTTGGATGCAGTTTACTTATTTAGGAGTTGATCCCAGGAAACAGGAATAAAAAAATGGGGAAAGGAAGATATAAAAGAGAGAGAAGCCAATAATACCAGTATGTTGATGTGCACAGTTATCGCCCAGTTGTCCATAACTGGGGCTTAGTCCTGCTGGGAACCCACTAAGCAATGCTATGACACAGCCCTCAGCATCGTTCTCCTCCATAATAAGAAGGTTGAAATGCTTATTTGCTGACTTCCGGATTCCCACTGTTACAGATGAGCTCGAAGGAACTTTAAAGCTCTATCTGTGGAGCCCAGCAAACTGT